TTCCTGATGGACCGGGTCTTGAGTTTGCCAGTTTAGTCTGTTTCTGTGTGACTTACAGTCCCTGTTTCCATGTCAGGAGGGAGGATGGTGGCACCGTGGTCCTCAGCATGGCTGAGGACATTTGTGAACCACAGGCAGGAGTGAGCCCCAGTCAGGACCTTCATCAGCCAGGACATCACACCCATCTGGTGGCTGTGTCCCCCCTCACCTACGTGGGTGACAGCAGAGGGCACATCTCCACCTGCTAAAAGGGAGCAAATTGCACTGGCACAAAATAAAGTGCCTGGTGAGCATCACCAGGCTGCGCCCAGAGCCCATCTGTGCCCTAACTCTTGGGGGCTGCAGCCCACGGGGAGGGCTGGGGCAGGCGGTGGGGACATCTATGACACGAAGGGATGTGCGTGGCACCGACAAAGAAGGCAACACCAGGAGAGCATGCCAGCACCTGTGCCAGGGCTGTGGATCCAGAGTTGCAGGACTGAGCGGAGCCAGAAGCGAGGCAGCAGCTGCTTGGAGGAGGGGAACAGGGCACTGCTGGGGGGAATCTGTCATCCCTTAACGCTGAGCAGACAGTCTGTGCCACCCACCCAGGACCCCGACGTGCCGCTGCCTGCTGAGCCTGTTGGCAGTGGATCTATCAGCCCACAGCAGCCTCAAAATGCAGCAGCTGCCCAGGCCCCTCGGCTCCAGCGTGGGCCCCTCGGAGCACAGAGGGACCCAGAGGCTCCAGCATGGAGCTGTGCACGTAGCTGGTCCCAGTGGGACCCCAGTGTGGGTGCAGCATGGTGGCTGTGCCTGGTGCCCCACTCCCTGGGGGCACGGTGCACGGTGTCAGCCCAGCCTCTCTCTGCCTTCCCCACAGGCACAGGGATGCAGCCACTCCAGAGCTGCTGCCAGGCCAAGGGCTGGCACCCACACGGGGAGTTTCCTCCGGCACGCCTGAAGCTTGGCTCGACAGCAGGAGATTAGCTTCGTTTCCAGCTTTGCCTGGATTTGGTGACCTCTAACAAGGACCTTCCACCCCAGCTGGCAGCCTCTGCTCCTTGCTCCCGGCAAAGGGAGGGGATGGGCCCTGCTCCCCCCAGGGCAGGGCTGTCCTGTTCATCACTGTCACTAGTGGAGAGCTGGGAGCTGGGACTGTCCCCTCACACCCTCCCTGGCTCCTGAGAGGGTGTAACTGTGCCCAAAGCAGAGCAGGAATCACAGGGCTTTGAGTAATGGCAAGATGTCTCCACGGAGCCCCCACGGACCAAAGGGAAGACAGGTGGGCCATGGCACCGCACACAGAAGGATTATGATGTGCTGAGTTGTGACATGGCCCTGTGGGAGCAGCCACTGCCCAGCACCAGTTCCATGGAAACGCAATAGGCAGCCTGGCCAAATCCTGGTACCAACATTTCCAGGAGTTAGGCAGCGCTGGTGCCCATGCAGCAGCTCTCCAGGGGCCAGCTTAGTCACACTTGTCCCTGAAAGCCATTGCCAGGACAAGGAGCCAATGGTTTTCTTAACAAAGCAGATTCTGCCCAGCAAAGCCACATGAATCCCCTTCAGAAAGTTTCAACCCACCAAAGCACAGCCAAGATTTTCATCGGAGGCAACGCCTGTCACTTCTCCCTGCCACCCCCCCGAGCTCTGGGGAGACAGGACTCTCCCAGCCACTGCCTGGCATATATCCAGCATAGCCACTTCAAACCTGCAGGAGCTTGGTTTATTAGGGCATTTTAAGGAATTTTAGCTGGTGATTTGAACCCATCTGCCTCAGGCCAAGCCAGCAGCGCTCAGGCCCTGCACAGCACCCTGTTTGGCTCTTTCAGAGTTATCACACTGCACTCCTGCCACCAGCTGGGGTAACAGAGTCCCAGGTGGGGCAGAGTCTCTTGACAAATAACTGCAGAAAATTGCAAGTCTGAGTTTCTCAGCAGCCAGGCTGCTGTGTGCAGAGAGGGATCACAGCTGCCATCAGTGGCAGGGGAGGGATGCAGGAACAGGCTCCAAGAGGTCTGGGAAGAGCCATGGCACAAAGAAAATAAGAGGCAAAAGGCAAAGACAGAAGGTTTGTTCAAGAAGCTGCAAAAGGATTTAAAACCAGGGAATTGCCTGGCTAAAACCACTTTTCCCCCCCTCTTCATAATGAAGTGCTGAATGCTGCAGCGAGACAGCACTGGAGGGATGTCCAACACCCACAGTCAATTCCCAAGGGAATCCAAAGGATCCAGGAGCTGCCGGCGCAGAAGGGCACTTTGCAGCTGCCCTTTATTAGCCCCAAATGCTGCAACATAAAAGGACAGAGCACAGGAATCCTTTCAGGCCACCAAAGGTAACACAATATGGAAGGAAACTGAACTTGGCAGTGTTCAGAGCTGGTGGTCGAAGCGGATGAAGGCTTAAGCTGCTTTAACCATCAGTTTTAAGGATGACAGATGGAGGGAAGGGAAAAAACCCCACCCAGTTGTCTGCTTGAGCCTCCCGTGGATTTGGAATCACATTGCTGTATTTCCAGGGAAGCTTTTAATGCTGACCCCATTGTTGGCCACCTGCTCATCATCCCTATGCTCTGCTCTACACATCCTCCACACCATAGCCCTCCCAGGTGCTCCACTGGGAAAGCCTCCAGCACAGAGCAGGATCCTCAACCACAAGTGAGCTGTGACTCTCTCCAGAGTAGGTAGAACAATGGGAACACACAACTTTGACACTCAGGTGGCTGCAGCCCTGGTGCTTATGGAGTCCTGATTCCCAGACTGGTTTGGATTGAAAGAGACCTTAAAGATCATCTCGTTCCACCCCCTGCCATGGACAGGGACACCTTCCACTAGCTCAGGATGCTCTGAGCTCCATCCAACCTGCCTGGAACACTTCCCGGGATGGGGCAGCCACAGCTGTTGTGGTCTTTATCCTGGTAGCAATGAGCAAAGACACAATACATGAAAAGCAGCGACCACCAACCTGAGTTTCACACAACCTGTGTGACAGCAATAGCTCACCAGTGTCTTCTGCTGCAAAATGAGTTGGATTCAGCAACCTGTTTGGATTTTTTAGGACTTCATTGCCTTCACCCACAGCAATCTATTAGGCTTGGGCTGACAGAGTGCAGATCCTGCCTAGAACATCCCTCTCCCAGCCTTCTCCTCCCACCCCAGGACTCCTAACACTCAGAGAACAAGGTGAGGTAGGACGCAAGGAATCTCATCACCATCTCTACAGGTTACAGTCATTCCCAATCCCTCAGTACACTGGGACATAGCCCCAACACCCACCCCATATCCAGCTTCCTGAGCATCAGGAAGTTTGGGATAATGAGCTGATTTAGGGGAAGTGCAGCTGTAAACCAGGGAGTGCTGTAATGGTTTTGCACTAGCTGTGTGACCTCAGAAAAGAGCATCAGGACTCAGGCAAGTCACCATCTGCTTTTTCTGAACATGGATGAGGAGTTAAATTTCCACATGGAGCAACTGTTTGGAGTTGTGCCAAGACATCCTGCTCAACCATCACATTGCTGAACTGATGATTTACTGCTTGAGATTGACCAAAGAGCAGTTTGGGTCACTCAATTCACTGCCCATGGCACAGGCCTTGGCTTTCTCCCACCCCATATTCCCCCTGGAGTTTAGCCCTCACAGGTGAGATGGGCAAATTTGTAATCACCATTTCCGATTTAGCACTTCCTCATCTCCCCCATCCAAGGGATTCAACTTTGTTCTTTTCCCTCAAGTTCTAATTTATTTTTTTTAAACAAGAAAGAACTCCAATGTTATCCTTTTGCTTCTCAAGAGGATTAACAGCAGGTTTTAAAAAACAGATTTTTAAAAAGCAAGATTCCACATAACTCCCCTCCATTTCTGCATTTTTTGACATGGATACAACAGGATAGGAGAAGAGCTGAGAGATTACCAGGCAAGTGGCTGCTGCCAGGGAGCACCAGCTCCCCCGAGTAAGTTGGTGTGTGAGGAAGATGAGCTACAGCACCATCACAGCCTTCAGCCTTACCCCAAAGGCTGGAGGGCTGCTTAAACCCGGGGCTGATGTAACACCAAAATCAGTAGCAAAGCAGTTTTGGGGCATGGCAGAACCACATGTCAGGCTCAACTGTAGGTCCAACACTGCCAAGGAGGCTCCTCTTATTTCAAGGATTGATCCTGCTTCCTGCCTCCCCTGGCAGAGGGTGAAGTGGCTGCAGCCACCCCAGAAGCCCTCACAGCCAGGCTCTGTTCTGGGCTCATTTCAGGCTAACACCACAGAGCCTCAGCTGCAGCAAGGACAGCAAATAGCTGCTGTTGAGAAATCCTGGCAACAGCTCTGCTCCCTGGGTCACCCTATGTTCCCAAAAATCCTCCCTCCTGTGAAACACCAACTCCTCCAGAACTAGCAGAGAGACTATGAAATCTAGAGCAAATGAGGTGCACATATTTATGTACAGTAAGCGACTTCCCCTCAGATGGGTTTCAAGAGGCTTCCACAGAGCTCGGCAAGTTGGGAACCTCCAGCTCTAATGGGATATATTTCCCATTTTCCCTCACCACAACACATTATACTACACAGATCCAAAAGCTGCAGTTGAAAACAGAATCAACCCTTCACCCCACCACCAGCAGGCTTGGAGCAGAAACAAGGTTTAAGTACAAATCAGATGATCCAACTGCAGGAAAATTGGCTTCAATTGACTGTATTTAAATAAAATTAAGCACTTACAATAGAACAGGCACTAAAATATTGTCAGCCCTGCTCCCCCCACACACCAGCCAAACCCCACGAGTCTCTCCCCACAACTCCCTGTTGGTTTGTAGGTGGCACAGAACACAAGAAATCATTTTGATGAAACAACACGAATCAGAAGGCAGCTCCCAGCTGGCATCCAGGTTTGAGCCCAAAGTCCCAAGTTCCAGGTGTTCCCAGGGAGAAGACAGGAGAGGCAGGATTGAAATATCCACATGGAACAAGCTTATTCCCCTCCCTCTACAGCCCCCCCATGATGCAAAGTCTTTGCTTGTTCCCTGCAGTCCTCAAAGCTTCTTCAGGCGACTGTACATCTCCCTCTTGCTCTTCTCTCCAGCCCAGGTTCGGCTTTTGGTGCGAAACCTCTTCAGGTCCTCCTTAAAGTCCTTGTGGTGCATCGGGCGGTAGCTCTGGGGCTCACAGAAGCTCTGGGGAAAGAGGTGGTGTCACCTCAGTGTGCCACAGGGCTGATGATCCCACCCACAGAGCCTGGCAGCAGCCACTGGGACAATTACCCCTGGAATAAACAGGGACAGATCCCCCTGCTCCTTACCAGATACTCCCAAGCCCAGGGATAGTCAGATGACAGCTCTCAAACTAAGGGCTTTCAGCCCTGTGTACAGAGCTCTCATCCCAAATTTTCTGGCAGGCATTGATACACAGGGTTTCTCTAGTGTGCACCTTGGAATGGCACAGACTGGAAGTATCCTTGTGCCTCAGGACCAGCCCCGGCTCACACGGGAGTCGCCGTTGGCTGTTCCATGCTGCCATCTTGAGGCCTTGGTTCCCTCACCTCAGTAAAAGGCAACCCAAAATCCACGGGGACAAACCAAACCCCAGGTGTCCACCACCCCAGGGGAGCCAGCATACCCCAGGGAGAGCCAAAAGCCTAGGCAGCACTCATTGCCATCTTCCACAGGGCCGAAGTGCTGGGACACTCAACATCCCACCAGGAAGGAGCTGACAGCCCCATCCAACTGGCCACGGACAGGCCAAGTACCTCCCATCTCTTCACCAGGAGGGTAATTTAAGGGATACTCTTAAAGTGTGGGGACTGAGGTGACAGTCAGGCCATGTGTTGTTTGTGTCAGAGCAGCAGGAAGGACTTGAGAGCACTGGAGAGAGTCCAGTCATGGAAATGCTGCAGGAGCAGAAGCGAAGTGGTAAGAGAAACCCTATCCTCACAGTGCTGTGAAGAGCTGGGAAGTGGGTTTTCATCTCCTTGTCTGAATTAGAGGCTGAGAACTCCACGCTCAGGTTTTCAGTTTTGCTGCTTGAGGACTGTATGAGACCTCAGGTTTCCATTTGTTATCCAGCAATTACTGTCAGTCCTGTCCTCTCCCCTGCACTCCATGCAGGCTGAGCAGCCTTAAATCCCTGCTCTGAGTGACAGTTTCAACTCCTGGTTGTTATAAAAGGGTATAAAACCACTTTTATATTTTACACTTGAGACAAGTGGAAAAACCTTTCAGCTATGGCAGGAAGAGAGCTCTGAGGCACAGAACAGACTCAGCCAATCATGAGCTGCTCTGGGTACAGTCCACAGAGAGAACTGAGAAAGCTCCCCTAGCCACACTGCTCTTCCCCAAAGACAAGTCTGAATATGAGTTAATTGGTATCATTTATCTATCATTTCTCCTCTGAGCGTGAAAGAGCTCACACAATCATAATGGAACAGTTTAGGCTGGAAAGGACCTTCAAGATGTCTTTCCAACCCCCCTTCCAACACCTTTCCACTAGCACAGGTTGCTCCTAAGCCCCATCCAACCTGGCCTTGAACACTTCCAGGGATGTGGCATCCACAACTTACCTGGCATCTTGAGAAGAAATCCTTGTAGCCCCCCTTGAGCACATACAGCTCTGGGTAGTACAGGTTGGGGTACTCATTGTTCAGTCTGTCCTGCTCCCTCACAAACCTGCACCTGAAGCAGGAAAAATCCCCTGTTAAATCCTGCATTCAACAAAAACCACACAAAACAGCTCTCACCCCAAAGACCCCATTCCCTGGATCACAGGAGTTGTCTGCTGCCAATCAGAAAGAGGCTGAGGAGCCATGCAGCCACAGTTAACTGGATTTTCCTTTCCCCTCCAAGCATTAAAGTGCTCCAGCCCAAGCCCAGCAGCCACTCACACCACAGGCCATGCCACAGCCCTGCCAGAGTTGACAGCCACCATCTCCTAATGGTGCTAGCACAGCTCTGCCCCCAGCAGTACCCTAAGCACTTATCCATACAAGTAGGAACTCACATCCGAGGGCCTCGCTCCGAAGAGAACTCACAGTGGAACACCACTATCACCCGTTTGTTCTCTGAGGGTTGGATTGGCTTCTTCAGCAAGTAGTCCTCCACATCCTTCTCCATGTGGAGGTTTATGGCACCCTGTAAAGACGTGCCGAAGCACATGAAGTGAGTGGAGGGGAACAGCAACAAGCTTTTCCTGCTTCCTTGTGGGCTGGTTCCTCATCTTGGTTTGCTAGAGCAGCTCTGGAATACTCTCCAAAAACAGCTCCAAACCCACCAGGACACCACAGCCAGTCTAAGACTGACTCTGGGTGAGCAGGACCTGTTTCAGGCAGCTGATTCAGCAGTTCAAAAGTATTTGGAAGGGCTTTGCTCAAAGCAACATTCAGGATCAATTACAGAATTCCAGACTGGTTTGCATCAGAAGGGACCAAAGATGCAAACAAGATGTCCCACCCCCTGCCATGGGGCAGGAACACCTTCCACTAAAACAGGTTGCTCAAGGCTTTATCCAACCTGTACTGGAACATTTCCAGGGATGGGGCAGCCACAGCTGCTCTGGGCAACCTGTGCCAATGCCTCAACACCCTCACAGCCAACAATTCCTTTCCAATATGCATCTAGCCCTAGCCATTCCCCCTTGTCCTGTCGCTCCAGGCCCTTGTCCCAAGTCCCTCTGCAGCTCTCTTGGAGCCCCTCGAGGCACTGGAAGGGGCTCAAATACCACAACCTCTCTGGGAAACTTGTGATTGTGTTTTGCACAGACATTTGATCTTTGCAGTCTATGGTTTAAATAAAGTTTAATAGTCTTAAGTTTAGCTTCCCTAGATATGAGAATGTTGGACATTGAGCAATCTTATATCCCCCTTTGGAACCATCTCTGTGATGGCCATACAGACCTCCTCCTCTGCTTAAGGAGAGTAGAACATTCCCTCCTTTAAGGGAAAAGTCACTTTGTGCACCAAGTGTGAGCTCAGTGTCCACGATCCAGGCAGTGGGTGGGTGTGACAGCATCCCAGTGGGGCACTTGGGCACCTCAGGTCTAATGTATCCACGTGGCCTTGAATACAAATCAGCCCCACACAGTGCCAAGTGACCCCATACAGCAACATCAGACAGCTCTGTGTTGCTCTTATGGGGTCAACATACCTTGATATGTCCCCCTTCATACTCATAGGGGTACCGACAGTCAATTATCACACATTGCTTGATGAAGTTCTCAAATTTCCCAGTAAGCACAGACACAATCTGAGGAAAAAACCCCCACAAAACCAGTTCAGTTGCTTCAAGACCTTTTTGTGTTGTTCCCCAACTCCTAGCAAAGAATGTTTCTGGCTGTCCTTGGAGCACTTACCATTTCTGCGTCGATATATTTTAAATCTTGATGTTTCCCTTCGACAGTGTCAAACAAATAACTCTGCAAGACAGACAGGATAGAGAAAATTCCAGCTGTGAGTCATGTAAGGAATAGCACAGCATCCAGTACTTCATTCTCTAACAGATATTCTGCTAAGAAGAATCTCTTCAGAAGTCACAACTAAGAATTCAGGGACATAATTTGATTTTTGGCTCCTACACTAGAAGGATTTTGCAGGTCTTTTAGAACAGCCACAAATGAATCACTTTGTGCCCAACCTGTGACATTCCCTTCCCACCAATAGCCTTCCCAGATCATAGGATCATTAAGTTTGCAGAAGACCTCCAGGACCATTAAGTCCAGCCTTTGATTCCAAATAACCAAGGCAAACTTACTTAGGGAAAGCCTCTGTAAAAGGAAGTGCTTTCAGTGGGCTGTTTGAGATGCCCCTGCCCAGAGAGGCCACTGAATGTCTTGAATTAACACCTGGCCATGGAATCACTGGGATTACCTTGGAGAAGTCACCAATAAGGTCTGTCCGGTCACTGTCCAAAACATTCTCGATATCTGCTATGGAGGGCTGGGTCTTCACCACTTTCTGACTCTGGAAGACACAGGTTAGAGATCAGCACTGATGGCAGACAGATTCTACTCCCTATTTTCCATAACAGAGAACAATTTACTCTAAAGCTCCGAACTCTGAATCCTCAGCTTCTTCCTTGGATTAGGGCAAAGCTCAGGCTCAAGACTATGCAACTCCTGCCCAAACTTCCCCAAACCTGCACCATTTGGAGACAAAAAAAAAAAAAAGCTCCCTTTAACCTTCATAAACCAGACACCAACACTGTTACACAGAATTGATTAGGGGAGGAGCAAACTGGATGCTAAGTCACCAACCGTGGAGTCCTCAGAAGTTCCACCCAGGCTTTTCCTCTTCCTGCTTTTCCCTGGAGAATTGTCTTTCGGGGGGGATCTGTCCATCATTTTCAGGGGGGTCCTTCCGGCCATGTCAGACATGGCTGAAGAGCCAAACAATTGGCACCGTTTGGCCTAGGAGGAAGGAGAGTAGTTGAGTTGTCCAGCAGAAAACCTAGCTTAGAAAAAAACCAACCCTCAGGCTTTCTGGTCATGGTAAATTTTGCCTCATATCAGACATCGCCAACCTGAATCCAGGCCCTATATTTCCAGGAACATCTGTTCCTGGGGGAGCCTGGAGCACCACAAACAAGATGAAGTGCCAGCAGAAAGCTCTACACCAATCAGCAGACAATCTATCAGCAGATTAAGGAGCTTTTTGCTGGAGTCTAAACTTCCCTTTGCAGTCTGTTATCAGAGGATTGGGCTAAAGCATTCCAGGTGAGTCTGTGCAGAGTGAATTCCACAAATGTCAACAAGTTTCTGATAAGGGAATTCAAGACCTTCTCACATTTATGAAGTGTAAAAAGAAATTTAATGCCTATAAACAAGAATTGTCCCTCCAGGCAAACAGCCCCAGAGATAACAGAACACTGCAGGGGGTTATGCCATGACTTGTTTTGTTGTTATTGGGGATACAGGATCAGTGGGATCACTTGTCCCAGCAGTGTGAAGTGCCAGAACAGAGTCCCTGTGTCTGTCCTGGGAAACACTCACCCGATTGTCTGGTCTCCTCATGACCAGCGGTGCAGTCCACAGACTTGCCACATCAGCTGGCATCTCCTCATTGTTCTGAGGGCAGAAAAAAGTTCATTCTCATCTATTTCTCTACAGGCAGAGACTGTAAACACAGCTCAGGCAAACATTCCAGCTGAATTCAGCAGTTATAGGAGTTCAATTCAATTGCTAGTCCAATTCTCAATGAAATTATGAAACAATTGAGCCACAACGAGAGAAGGTGAAGTTGTATTGACACACTGATTAATAATGATGCTCCAAAGCTTTAAGTGTTTCAAATTCAGTTAGAGTCTTCTATTTAAGTGGCTCAAAAGCAAATACTCTGAATTTACCAGCAAGAAAAATGCTCAAGTGCTCAAAAAATTCTCTTCAGCAATGCAAATCTGAAACTAAAAATAATCCGCTTGTTCACCCCCCAAACAAATCCCACTGTCTGCACTAGAGAAGAACACTTGGAGACACCACAGTGTGAGTGAAAAAGATGAAAGCAGCTCATCTCTTAGTTAAGGTGTCCCTGCCCATGGCAGGGGGTTGGAACTGGATGAGCTTTAAGGTCCTTCCAACCCAAAGCAGTCTGGAATTCTAGTTCCCTAATACCCAACTTTGATTTGAACACACTGACTTCCCCCAGAACACACCTGCACCACTGACACACGTTGTGGCAGACTGTTAGCATCACACAGAGCTGTTTGGGGCATCTCCTTTGCACATACCTTGAAATTCTGGTCATCCAACAGCTCCATGAATCCATCGTCATCCTCGCTCTCAGAGGAGGTCAGGGAATGTTGCTGCATGAGGGATGGCCTGTAGTTCTCCTGTTCAGCTGAGGGTATTTCATCCACAGAAATCTGAAAGAAGACAGTTTTAATTCTAACAACATTCCCTCTCTTGCCTGCAGGATGCTGTACCCAGAGATAGTGACATGAGTCTCACTACACTGATTATTCCACCACCAAACCCCACACTGAGCTGCAGGTGCTGAGCACAGGACAGAAAGCAACGAGCAGGATGAAGGGCTGCCAGATTCAAGGAGACAAGACTTTGCCTCTCAGCTGTTTCTGGGCAAAAACCCATTGTAATTTTTTCAGCTGCTTTTTCTAAACAACAGGATACAAACAAGGTACCATTTTCTCCGTGGATGTCATATCTGGACACAAAATCCAGGTGCATCTACAGTCGAGTTTGTTCCAAATGCATCTGCCTCAACATAAGTATCTACTGACAGCCAGTTACAACTCCACATCCATGTCCACACTCCCTTCAGTTACTGCAGCACAACCTCAGCTCTGTACTGACTCATCTTTCCCAGAACAATCCATGTTTCAGATTTCTGACCATCTCATGAGCCAAAGGTGAACAGTTTTATCATCTGGCATAAGTTTTCCCACTTGGCACCTGAGTAGTGGTGATTAGCATTGCCTTCGGGCCCTGATGCAATTTTTCTCCCTCCCAGAGAGTGGTCAGCAGAGGATTAGGTGAGAAATAGTTTTAAGGAACACTCTAGTACTTATTACCTGAGCTGGAGATGAGTTCTGCCTTGCTTCAAGAACACCCTTTCCATCACGGAAGGAACGAGAAGCTGGTTTGGTTGGTTTCTTAAACTCACATGATTCCTGAATTCAAAAGGAGCAAAATGATCATTTTACCAAAATGACAAACTGTATTAACTTTTGTTAAAGCTAGCTGACAGTTTGGGTTTAAGCTCCCTGCTG